CACCTAGGGAGGAAAAATGTCCAGCACACCTACAGCCTAGGGAATGACCTGCTGGGTGGAACAGAAGTGGAGAGGGATCTCGGAGTCCTAGTGGACTCCAAGATGAACATGAGTCGGCAGTGTGACGAAGCCATCAGAAAAGCTAATGGCCCTTTATCGTGCATCAGCAGATGCATGCCGAATAGGTCCAAGGAGGGGATACTTCCCCTCTATCGGGCGCTGGTCAGACCACAGTTGGAGTACTGCGTGCAATTCTGGGCGCCACACTTCAAGAGGGATGCGGATAACCTGGAGAGGGTCCAGAGAAGGGCCACTCGTATGGTTAAGGGCTTGCAGACCAAGCCCTACGAGGAGAGACTGGGGCACCTGGACCTCTTCAGCCTCCGCAAGAGGAGGTTGAGAGGCGACCTTGTGGCTGCCTATAAGTTCATCACGGGGGCACAGAAGGGAATTGGTGAGGTTTTACTCACCAAGGCGCCCCCGGGGGTTACAAGAAATAATGGCCACAAGCTAGGAGAGCGCAGATTTAGACTGGACATTAGGAAGAACTTCTTCACAGTTCGAGTGGCCAAGGTCTGGAGCGGGCTCCCAAGGGCGGTGGTGCTCTCCCCTACCCTGGGGGGTCTTCAAGAGAAGGTTAGATAAGCATCTAGCTGGGGTCATCTAAACCCAGCCCTCTTTCCTGCCTATGCAGGGGGTCGGACTCTATGATCTATTGAGGTCCCTTCTGACCCTAACATCTATGAATCTATGACTACTACAGCCCTAGGCTCCGGGAATGTTAGGAAAGCTTCTCATTTCTTTTTATCTGATGAAGAACATGTATCAGGTTATATCAGAGTCCTAGTGCCGTGGCGCTGGTCGGGACCTCCAGATGCCACCTCTAGTCTAACCCATGCCTGGGACAGGATCAGCCCGGTCCAAACCATCCCAAACAAATCATCTAAAACTCTTTGCAAACCTACAGTCACCCCCACTGCACCTAGACAGGACAACATGCCACACTACGTGCACCCCATGCTCCAAAATCCTAGCTCTGCCCATGCTCGCCAGCACCCCCCAGAGCAGCCCAGAGACCCCCTGGCCCGAGGACCCCCATCCCCGGGGCTTCCCATCCCACCCCAGCCCCCTCACCTCAGGGAAGTTGCAAGGGGGGGCATCCCCATGGCAGGGCGGGGCATCAGAGGCCAAGGAGTAGTTGAGGGCGCGAAGCTGGCAGGGCCCCACGGCCACAGGGGTGATGTTGAGGTCGCGGGCGACGCAGTCTCGCAGGGGCACGCGGCTGCAGGCAAACTGCGGGAAAGGGGGTGGGGGTCACCGTGGCACCGGGAGGGGGCAGCACCCTGGGCCCCAGCCCCCTCCCCGTCACTGCCCCAGGCCCTACCATGTTGACGCAGGCGGCGATGAAGACGAGGAGGACGGTGAAGACGCCGATGACGGTGCTGTGAGCACGGGAGTGCACGATCTTCCGGGACACCCGCTGCAGCGCCGCCGGGAAGAGCTGCGGGCCAGGGAGGATCCTCTGGGCACGGCCACCCCAGCCCCGGCTGGCCTCCCCCAACCCAGCTGCCCCATGCAATGGGGCCCTGCAGCTGTGCATGCCGGCTCACACACATGTGCAGCCCCAGAGGAAACGTTGCGAGACTCGTTTTGCTCACAGGGGAGTCTGGGGCACACAGTTCATGACGTACCCATTCCCACCTGCTTGCACAGGGGCAGTGCGCACACCAATGCACAAACACACAGTGCACGGCCACTCACACGAGGGTGGTATGCGCACCAATGCACGAGCACACAGCACATGGCCGCACACACAAGAGTAGTGCTCATGCCAACGCACAAGCACATGGTGCACAGCCATTCACATGAGGATGGTAGTTGCACCAATACATGAGCACACTGTGCATGGATGCTCACATGAGAGTAATACTCACACCAATGCAGAACATGTGGTGCACAGTCATTCACATGACGGCAACCCACTGCTGCACGAGCACATGCCCGCTCACATGAGGGCACTACCCACACCAATGCATGAGCACATGGTGCACAACCACTTGCACGAGGGCAGCACATGACTACACAAGCTCACAGCTGCTCACACAAGGGCAGTACTCATGCCGATGCACAAGCATATGGTGCATGGACACTCGCACAAGGGCAGTACACAAGTACACGAGCTCATGCCCGCTCATGTGAGGGCAGTACTCACGCCAATGCAGGAGTAGACGGCGCACACGAAGAGGATGCTGGCCAGGAGGACGAAGATGCAAACGTAGACCCCAAGCATCAGGGGGGAGCTGTGGGGGACAGGCACCGTGAGCTCCCCCAGGCTGCAGCCCGCGGGGCAGCCGGTGGCTGGGACTTGGCACGGGGCAGGGGGTGGCTACGCACTGAGGGAAGATGACGATCTGGATGAAGCAGATGAAGCAGAAGACGAGCAGGGTGCAGGCCACATAGCCCCCGAACCGGTCATCCACCTTCTTGGAGTACTGTGGGGACAGTGGGGGTCACTGCCGGGACTGAGCTGCAGGGGAGGGCATCCAGCCGGGTGGGGGGCCACATACCTTCCTCTCCAGCTCGGGCGTCTGGAAGGTGAGCAGGAAGCGCTTGACGTGGTCCTTGCGCAGCTGGTCGATGCTGCGCGCATCGATGGCACGGCCCAGGAACTCGTCCACCTCGTCCTCAGGGTTCAGGGCCTCCTGCGCGCTGCGGCTGTGGGGGCAGGACAGTGGGGCTCAGCCCTGCCACCCCTCCCCTACCCGGCCTCTGGGCCAGGCCTGGGCTTGTCCGGCTCAGGCTGGGGGGAACAGCACTTACTTGTCCTTGCTGGAGTCATCGATGCCCTGCAGAGATGGGGGGGAGAAGGCATTCAGGGGGGGTCCAGCCACCCCCTATCCCCTCCCCAGGGTTGCTGCCACCCCAGGCAGCCAGGAAACCCTACCCTCACTGCCCAGCCTCCAGCAGGCCGGCACCAGAAGGGGAAACTGAGGCAGAGGGAGGGAGCCCAGGAAGGCCATGGAGCCGGGAGTTGTCCAGGGGATAGGGATGAAGACTGTCCAGAACGGAGCCACGTAAGGGATTTACACCCAGGAGGGTGCTGGCCTGGCCCTGCCGTGGCAAGTGACCAGCCCAACGTGGAAGGGGGATCACGCCAACCTACCCCCCACCCCCGGCTGGGGCTGCCCCAAGCGGTGCAGATCCAGCCAGCACTGCACGACACCCGAGCAACCGGCACCGTACCGACACGGCAACCGGCTTCACCGGCAACCAACGCCATGGCGACACACCAGGCCACAGCAGCTGGGGGGCAACGAGCCATCCTAAGGCAACAGGGGATGCCCCCCAGGCCTAGCCCCATGGCAACCGGCATCCCCAGGGTGACACCGTGCTGGGGTGACTGGGGGCTGCAAGGCACCCGTGGCAAGGGGAGTCAATGCTGCTGTGGGGAGCAGGAAGGCGTGGGGACCAGGGCTGACAGCACCGATGGGGGATGGAGCCAGCGGCCAGGGCTGCTCCGGGCCCGTGCTCACCATCTGCCGGAAGGCCTTGGAGTCCTTGGCCCGGGAGAAGGAGCGGTCGGGCGCCCAGCGCGGTGCCAGTCCATCCACTGAGTTGGCCCGCGCCCGCTGCAGCTTGGCCAGGATCGCCTTCTCCTCCTTCTGCGAGGGGACATGGCCGCGGTATGGGGGGCTGCAGGGCACAGCTGCCCCTGGGGATACCTGTCTGCCCCCCACGCGCTTCTGGCTGCAGCCCACGATGAGGAAGGTCTCGATGTTGTGCTCCTTGAGGTAGGTGTTGCGCTCGCCACCGTGGCCCGGCTCCACCTCGTAGTCCCCGTTCAGGCACTTCAGCGTGGCCCCCGTGATGTGAATCCGCCTGGGGGGTGGGGGGCAGGCTGAGTCCTGTGGGCCCTGCAGTGCCCCTTGACCCTGGGGAGCCCTGCAAGCCCCAGAGCCATTGCTCCCGCCACGCGCCCCCGCTCACCCAGCCTTGCCCCCCGCCTCCATGTGGTTGGCCAGCGTGACATCATTGGACCAGACGTCGAACTGCCACTTGCGCAGGCCCAGCACGCCGCAGTGCACGCGCCCGCTGTGGATGCCCACGCGCATGTTCACATTCACGCCCGTCACCTCGCGCACCAGCCTGCGGGGACACGTAGGCACCAGGTGTCAGATAGAGCTGCCTGCTCCCCCTGTGCAAGGGTGCATGCACACACGTGCATGCACTCATCCCGTCCCGCATGCAAGGGGCTCACAAGTGCACCCCTGTGTGAGGATGCATGCCCGGGGCACCGCTCCCCGACTCACGAGATGGCCTCGATCATGTCAACGCCCATCTCCACGCAGCAGTGTGCATGGTCGCCCCGTGCCTCCGGCAGCCCCGACACGCAGTAGTAGCAGTCGCCCAGGATCTTGATCCGCAGGCAGTGGTTCTCCTGGGGGGGGCAGAGGTCAGCCCCCAATGCACTCCCCTCTCCTACCCCCTGTGCACAGCTTCCCCTGCTCCTGCACACGCGCGTGCACTCACAGCTGCCAGCTTGTCAAAGCGAGCGAAGAGCTCGTTCAGTGTCATCACGAGCTCCTGGGCCGTGCACTGTGACGCCAGGCTGGTGAAGCCCTCGATGTCCGCGAACAGGATGCTGTAGGCGAGAGGGAACCTGAGCATCTCCCTGGGGCGGGCTCCCCACACCCCATGCTCTGCCACCTCCCCTGCCCCACGCTGCTCCCAGCCCATGTTCCCCAACCCTGGGCCCAACCGGTACCTGACGTTGTCGTGCTTCTGGATGTAGATTTTGTGGAACATCATGTCCTCCTTCTTGGTGTTGATGTCCTCCTTCATCTCCATGGCCACATGCTGGGGCAGCACAGACAGCAGGAGACGCTCCTGTCCCCAGACCACACCAGTCACTACTGCAGGGTCTCTAACCCTAACCTTAACCCTAGCCCTTGCCCCACCACTGCCCCAAGCTGTGGTACTGGGTCTGGTGGGGTGCACTAACCCTGTGGCCCCAGCACAGGCATGGGGGCAGGTGGGGTGCACTGCACCCCATGAACCCAGCACAGGCAACCTGAGGACCCCGATTCCCCATGTCTCCCCCTGTCCTCCCAGCACCCACCTGCTGCCGGTTCTCCCGCTGGAGGTGAAGCCGGGCCTGGATGTAGCCGCGCGTCTCCTGGAAGGCCTGGCGCTGTGAGACTTCGGCAGGGTAGTGGGTGCAGACCCCAATCACGTTGGTGCAGAGGAAGATGAGGACGTTGGCGCTGAGCTGGGGCAGGGGGCGGGGGCTTCATCAGCCTGGAGCCCTCAGAGGGAGATGGACACCTCTTCCCCACATCCAGACACTAGGGGCATCGCTGGGGGGCCCCAGGAGGCATCACCGTGCCCTGGACCCCCAACCCAAATCCCCCCCTCACGCTCCTCATCCATCACCAAAGCACAGGGAACCCCCTGCTCCATCTCCACCCCTTCAGGCAATGTTCCCAGGGCAGGACACGGCGCCTGGAGCAGGAGCACCCAGCCCCATCGGAAGTGGAGGAAGCCGGAGGGGCCCAGCGGGAAGCTGCCGTCTATTTAGCAGTGCGGCTATGGGCTGGCTGCGGTCCACCCCCCCACCCAGCCCCGGCTGGGACTATTTATAGCCTCGCAGCACAGGGTCCATGCCAGGACGGCACCCCTGTCCCCACCCCTCTGCTATCGCATCCGCCCCGACCGGACAGAGCATGACCGGCTGCAGGCTCCGCACCAGCCCACAGTGGCTCTGGGGCCCCGGGGAGGTGGGGGGGATTAGGGCTCCCCTGCCCTACAGAGCGGTGCCCCCTGCCCTGTAACCCAGCCCAGTGCTACCCCAGAGCGACCGGGCTGGGAACCATGGGAGGGGGCATGGCAGGCTCATGGGGACACACCAGCCCCCCCAGGGACCAAGGGGCCCCATTCCTACCCTCCAACATGGGGACCCTGGAGGTTGGGCTGCGCTGGGCAGTGGAGGGGGGCTGCCACCCTGGCTTTGCCTGCTGCCCTGGCTTCCTCCCCCCGTCCCCCCCCAGCCACTTCCTCCCCACCCACAATGAGGGCTTTGTCTGCCCCCCCACCCCCAGCCGACACCCCTACCCACAATAGGGGCTTTGTGCACCAGAAGCCCCAATTACCACCCCCCACCCAGACTGGGGGAAGGGATGGGGGCGAGGCAGCTGCAGTCCCTGCAGCTCTGAGGGGGTGCACTGGGTGCACTGGGACCTCCCAATGTCAGCTAATGGGCCTGCCCGGATCTGGGGGGGCCACGTTTGGCAGGGAAGGGGCTTCCCACTACCCCCTCCCTACCCCCTGCACCAGTGCCCCCAGGACCCTGCCCCACAGCTGAGTGGAGCCTGCTTCATCGCTCCAGACCCCTGTGGCTTTGACCCCTGTGTTGTCCCACAAGGTCACTGCCACAGAAACCAGGAACAGGAGCAGCCTCTCAGAGCAGCTGGAAGGGGCGGGGGGCAGCATTCACCCCCAGCCCAAAAGGGCAGGGTCCCCATGACAAGCTAGGGATGGGGGGCACAGTCCAGGCCTCACCCACCCACTGCTCTGCCTCCAGGGGATGGGGTGCTGGCAAGGCTGGGCACTGTGACACAGTGTGGAGGCCTGTGCTAGAGCTGGACGGCCTGGCACACGGACACCCTGGTCCCCAGCCCCATCCTACCTGCTTCCAGAGGAAGGGGTCGGCAGCATTGAGGTGCCAGGAGATACCGAGGTGCAGGGCGGACAGCAGGGCGCCAGCCAGCACGGCCGCCCTCATGCGCACGGGCAGCAGCGTGTAGGCGATGTAGATGAAGAAGACACTGCACCAGATGCCCTCAGCGGCACTGCGTGGCACGGCCATGAGTGCGGCCAGCACCTGCACCCCGGCCAGGGCACCCAGCACCACGTAGCTCACAGCCCACATGTAGTCCTGCGGCACGGCACTGCGGGCACACAGCACCATGAGTGCCAGGAAGAGGGCAGTGGCCACGGCCAGCGCGGCGGCATAGGGTGGGCGCGGGGTGCCGGGCAGGCAGTGGAAGAGCAGCAGCACACCGCACACCAGCACCAGCACGGCCATGAGCACTGTCAGGCTGCTCTGGTTCATCTGGAAGAAGTAGCGCTGGTAGAGCCGCTCCAGCTTGGCCGATGGGAAGCGCTTGGAGCGAAACACCTGGGCCAGCCGCTGCCAGACCTTGTCTGCTGGTGGCCGCCGCGGCACTGCCCCACCACCCTCTGCCGCCTTCACACCCCCTTTGGCCTCGCTGTCCTCAAAGCCCAGGTCCACCGCTTTGAGACCCAGGTCACCAGCCGTCCCCTTCTTGCCGTAGTGGTCCTCCTGCCAGGAGCAGCGCAGGCCCAGGCCAGCCCGGGCATGGGGGCCGCGCTCAGCCTCGGGGTCCTGCAGGCAGCTCATGTAGCGGGGGCCGCAGAGCGTGGTCCGCGGGCGCTTGCCCTTCTTCCCGTTGCGCTCGCCCCATGCTGTCTTCCGTTCATCCACCTTGGGCACTAGGATGCCACTGAACCACGACATGCTGCGGGGCCGAGGGAGCAGTGTCACCTCCTGACCTGACCCCGCTCCCCACGCTGCCCCCGGGGCACTCACCTGGCTGGCTGCTCAGTGCCACGAGCTCCAAGCGGGCATGGACCCCAGCAGGAGGGCCTCTGCTCATGGACGGCTGGGCATGGGGCCGGCACCTGGAGCACAGGGAGAGCAGAGGGTGTCACGTCAGCGAGACCTGCAAGCTGGATGCCCGCCACAGGGGCTCCCCGTCCGCCTCCGGGACTCCCACAGCTGCCCCCAGCCCCTGCCACCGCCCTGGGAGCTGCTCCAGCACATTAGGGCCAAACCCCACCTGCGAGCAGGCTCCAGGCGCGGCTGCGTCTCTCCCGGGGGGAGGCGTCCCTGGGCGCCAGGCTCTGAATCGCCCAGGGGGAGCGATGCTGGACTCTGACCCCCGGGGAAGCTCAGAGGCAGGGCCTGCCCCGGGCACCATGCGCTCAGCGCCGGCGCAAGTGGGGCTGGCGGGGCGCCCCGGCCCGGGGTGGGGGCTGCGGGCAGGGCAGCCCTTTCT